ATCTGAGCAAAACAATGTTAAACTAGTGGTAGAATTGGCCAAAATATTAGCAAACATTCACTCAATGAAAGTCCCCATAAGGAAGACTGGATTCTCTCTATTGGATGTGTTCGACGGCTATTATAACTTGGGTTAAGTCAAACTAATAGTCAATGGATGTGTTGAAAGAAATACTTGATTTGCACTTAACCCGCACCTCAGGCCCTGTGTTTTGGTTCAACTGTATTGCTGTCGTCATAAGTAACTAATATTGAATTTTAGTGATTGATAGCACATAATACATACCTTTAGTAAATTGAATACAATATAACATGCATTTAAAAAGAGTTTATTCTTACAATTGAATGATTAATAAATAGTAAGGTTTCTGGTTTTTATTAAGAAATGTCATTCACTTGAATCTCTTTAATCATACTCAATAGATGTTTGAATTCTTTGTAAAATTCTTGAAAATGCCATTTTTTTGTTTGATTAATTATATATAATTTAAATTTAATAAATTAATGTGAAACACTTAGACATTGTATATATTTTATAATAGATTTAAATAATATGTAAACTTTATATACAGTACATATATATTCTGTATATACAGTATATATATATTCTGTATATTATAATAACTTAAATCAAGGTCCTATGGTACATTGATTTTATAATAAAAATTCCATATTACTTGGAATTTATATCACTAAAATTAATATATATGATGATCTTAAACAACTTTAAAATTTAATTTCAATCATTAAAACAATAGAATTACATTTATTACATGTTTAAAATGTAAATTAATTATTTAACATTTTAATTTTAAATATTTGTTCCAAAATAATCGTAAAGTCTTGTTAATTAGTTAATTAAAATATATTGTCCTTGATGAAATTATTTTTGTGCTCCATATACTTCTTGTAAGAATTTTCGAGATTTATCTATAAAACAAATATTTTTATGAAAAACTATTATTTTACAAACGATAACAAAACATACGATTAAATATTAATGTCAAAACATGTTATAACTAATTAATTAAGTTTTACAAACCATTAACTTTTTCTTATCAAAAGGCATGCCATCGATGATAGATTCACTCATACGGAGACCAAACAATAGGCCAAACATATACGCAATTAATGAAAACACTTTCACTTCTTTCATAATATGTTTCAATGAATTTCTCACATCTCTGGCAAAGTCTTGGCCGACAATATTCACCGACTCCTCGATATAGGACTCGATAAATGGTATGATATTGTGATCGTCAGTGAATTCACCGAAATGTTTGCCATAAGCATTGCCCCATTCATTAAATATTGAGCCAAAATCAAAGCCCCGGTAATCATTGCACGAGTACTCAAAGTCACACAAAACTATACCATCTGTTTCGGTGACCATAATGTTAGAGCCCCTGAAGTCGACGTGAGTGAACATCACCGGAGAATCTGTTTCGACGATCAACTTCTTGAGCCACTCTAACTCTGTGTTCAAGTCGTGTGTCTTAAACGTCTCACAATTGCATTCTTCGTATAGAGTTTTCAAATCAAACCGTGAGTTCGCTTCGGAGTAACAGTTGTTGAAATAGTTTGGAATCCAATTCGAGAACTTCTTTATGGGAACCGATGTTGAGTGAAGTCGAGCCAACTTTTGTGCCAATTCTTGGACTAGTTTTGGGTCCTTTTGTTCATCAGTTCGGAAACATCTGTGCTATTAATGATTCAGTTTGTAGATTAGTTAATGAGTTTATAATTATAATGTTTGACTGAATATTTTTATATATTGAATATTATATAACATCAATATTAAATCAATATTATATAGATTTACGACAAATTTAATTACTTTGTAATACTTGAAGATTTGTCCGCTTTCGAAGAGTCCGTATATTTTGGGTCCCAAACCCTTCTCAGACATTAATTGCCCGATTATTACATCCGTTAGCCTATCATTGCCGCCATTATCTGAATGATTGAAATGTTTGTCCTGATACAAGCGAATGG